GTAAACCAACAGTTTTCTATTGAAAATGGCCCATAGAAATCGTTGATTTACCTATTAAAGATGGTGATTTTCCATAGTTATGTAAACGTTTACCAGAAGTTATACCCTCATGAATATCCTATTGTTATCAGATGAAAATCCCGTAAATCCTCATCGTCACCTCCGCAGGTGGATGGGGCCCAAACGGAATTGTTTCAGGCGGAGAATGGGCTGAGCCTGACACAGTTCTTGGGGATTAAAGGGAGGTGGGGGAAGAAAACGTCCAACAAAAATTGGGCTATTTTTTGTGGGGGGGAAGTGATGGAAAGTGGACCTGTCGAGATTTTTCAGGACGAAAAACGAGCACCGATATTGGTGCCCGTTTGCTGGTGTTGATTGGATGGTCCGAGTTTTTTAAATGGGCCGTTGGTTACGGTCCATGTGACTTTCATTTTTGAACTCTGTCTAGATCAGCCACGACCAAGAACATCAGGCACCAAGAAATCAGCAGATCTCGCAAAATTGAGAATAGAACCAATAAAAAGGGGGAATGTAAGCAATAAGAAAAGGCGAATTGACCACATATATTTTGCACTACACATGTGAATACCCCATCTTTATTTATGGTTCTGGTATATATTGATATCACAATACATATATATATATCCCATTATATGGGTCATTCATTCATATATATATATATATATCCAATACATTGAATATCACAACACATGAATCTTTTGGTCTGCTGCATATGCCAGTCAAAAGATCTTTGGGATCGGAGAATCATCCCCATGGCCCAATACATTGAAGATACTTTTTTTTGTAAACTAAATAGGCTAGCATTCATACAATCATGCATATATAGTAATTATATATATATACATACATATATACATAATCATATATACACCAACACACATCCAATATACCACGTATTTGGACACATTTCATCACGACCTGACCCAGTAAAAGCTCCATTTCTCCCATGGGAACTTGGGATTTTCCCATGGCCAGGGCTGGCCCCACCTGGGACTCCCCGATGTCTGGGACTTTGACTTCATCGAGATGTCTCCTGAGGCGCAGATCCAGTTTGCGACATTGAAGCCATGGCCATTGAAATAGTGGATTTAGCCATAGCATGGTGGATCTTTCCATAGTTATGTTGTATGTTTACCAGAGGGTATAGAATATGTATAGTTATAGTAATAGATAGTGGTACTTTATGGATATTTTGATAGTTATAGTACTGACGATATGTCATATATAGATCTGAAGAAGGATAGTGGATAGACTATACTACTATAAATAATTATCCCATCTGATCTATTACAGTACTTGAATATAGTTGTACTACTAAATCTATCCAATCAGATTGGTATGGAGTATAGAACTACAAATGGTGGCTGTAATGGTGACTATAATGTAATACTGTAGCATGTAATAGTGGTATAGTAATATGATTAGTCAAAAATAATGGATAGATATTATAACTATCTGGATATTCATGTATAACTCAAGTACTGTTATTACTAGAACTATTACTATATGGAGGTTTTCTAAAATGAGGGTACCCCCCAAATTTAGCGGTTGGACGAACCCGCTTGGGGGATCGAAATACCATGGAAATCTCCATCAGTACGGCCCCATTAACCTCACCTCAGTGAGTTAACTGGGGTCCCAGTTGGATCGCAAAATTGGCCCGATGCACTTGGAGGTTTGTAGCTGGGAAATCCCGACCTGGAGGTTTATAGCTGGGAACATCATGGAAGTTCTTGGGGAATCGTCCAGGGCTGGTTACCTGGCGTCCACTGACATGATCCACCTGTTGAGGAGAAATTGGCGTCCACGAAACTCAGCGAGTGCTGACACGCTGTGAGCGCAAAAGGGACCAAGGGCGGCATCTGGCGACATGGTAGAAGTGGTGGAAGGCACAGATTCAAGATCTTAGTATATGAACAAAACATATGAAATGGGTGTGTTTCACAATTGTGGACGCATCCCCAAATATATGGTATTTTTATGAGTATTTTTCCATCGCAACCATTGTTTTTCAAACTCGGATTTTAGGGGTGTCCTGTCCTACTTTCAGAATGATCTCCCACTTAGAGCCACGGCGTCATAAACCATCCTCAACATACCGTAAACGCTTGGGATTCAAACCATCCCCAAATGTGAGGTGATCCAAATAATGGGTTTCATGTGAGGGTCACCGTCCAAATGACCAAACTTTTGAGGTTGGTGAATTATGACCTACTGTGCATGGAAGAAATCCTGCACCAGTTGGTAGATGGGCAAAATCCCTCAGAATCCCATTTTTTGCAGTGCTTCATAGTTACCAATAGTTACCCTGCCTGGTGATTCAGATTTCGCAACCATGGTATTTCCAGAGAAACCCAGGTGTTGACATCTTCCCCCAAGGTGTTGCAGGTGTCAAGCTGAAGAATCCCTTGTGATCTTGGCTTCGATCCACCCAGACTACGATTTGAAGGAAATAAATTTGAAATAAATAGATACAGCATGATGTAGAATAAATCATAAATGGCCATGGTGGTTTTCCCAGTTCAATCCAGAAATGTTATGTAGGAATTCTTCACTACCATAATGGTGGGAACAGGCATTTGTTTCTTGGGGGTTCCAGGTATTCAGCTGGATATGTTCGCATTGTCGACATCCCCCAAAATCATCCATTTTTTTTTGAAAAAAACGGACCAGGTGTGAGGCTTACCCCCCCGGTCGCCACCCCAGCACTGCTCCCAATTTGCCTCGCTTCCGCGACAGTGGCTCGGGCGCGATGAGTGCGGAACCGCCTCGAAAGGGTCCAGATTCTCAGAGTAACCATGAAGACACAGAACTTGGATGTTGAATTAAACGATTCTGGAAAGTCAGACCATTCTAAATTTTTTTCGAGCGAACTTTTCAAAACTTGGGAGATCTTTAGGATGACTCTGTTGACTCCAAAATCTGTTTCTAAGTCCTCATCCAAAATTAACCTGGAGTAGCTACGCACACGCCATGGAGCCTCGTGAGGCGTTGGGAGCAACCATGTTTTAAGGGCCCAATTTTCAAACACGGCCATGTATTCCTTACCTTTGTAACAAACGCTGCCGCTACTTATAGTATATAGTCAACTTTAGCATGCTATAAGTGGCTAGAACTCAAAGGGGAGTGGAACCCAAGTACTGCACTGCTATCATGCTGCTGTTTGCCCATCAGAGTTGATTCCGACTGTCAGGCACCAAAGCACAGGTTTTCATACACCTAGAGACATCACAGACACCGACAAAAGGCAAACCTATCCCTTTTCACCCTTTTTAGAAACTCCAGTTTAGGACTCCACGCCAACAAAAAAATAAAATCCAACACATCATATATTTTCCTGCGCATTCTTCGCGGTTGACATCATTTGCTTCATTTTTCCCCAATGGATCCACCCGCTACAGGTCGAAGGGCTTGGGAGTTGGCCCTTCGATCCAGTAACTTGGAAGATGGATCATTTTGGACCCGGGATTAGATTGGGGGTATGTCAATGCATTCGCGTTCCTAATGTTGGGTTCCATGATTTTTCAGGAGATTTTGCTGGGAAGTTCCTTCCAGATGTATATACCGTTCGATCATTTTTGAGGATGTTCGAATGGTTTTTAAGGGGTATGAAAGGCTAGAATGGCTGTTTCAGAAGAGGCAGACAAGGTCATGGATGATTTTGGATGATTCAAGGGGGTCATAAAATGAGGATGAAGATCTGAAATAAATCCAAGGTTGAAGCAATGTGATTTAGGCGATTCTGCCTATAATATATTTTTTGGGATTAGATTGATTTAGCTACTCTTTAAATGTTGAATTATGTATATATATATATACATATACACCTTTCCGATATTTTTTGACTTGTTTGGAGATCGTTTTATTTGTTTATCATTGAATCATGTCCAAACTGCATTTTTTTTTCATGTTCATCGAAAGAGGCATGATCGCTGGAAAAAAGCGGAGGGGGCCGGGCCCAGAGCATGACGAAGATCCAAGCTACGACCTTCCAACGCCTCCCTTTTAATACTTTTTTTACATCATACGCGCCAAGCAAAACAACACGTTTAACTGCTAAAAGGCTAAAAGTGTGAAGTTTTCACACGGAACTGGCAATCTTTCAGAAAGTTTCGTGGGCAAACCAACTGTTTCAAACGGAGGTGTGATCCATCCGTGACTTGTGGATTTTTAGATATCTGGGTCTGGGTCAAGTTTTCTCATTTCCAAACCCAGAGGTTTTGGTAATTTTTCGTCTTGAACATCCCAAGTTTGATACCACAAGTGACTACTAGACCCTCAATATGCCCATATTAAATGAGTACCAATTTCTATAAGCAATTGTCAATGTCAAGCTAGAAACTAGTATTTTCATCCATCTTCATGGGTAGTTCATGCATGATCTACACGTCATTATGAGCAATGTTGATTCATATATTCTGAACCCAGCTTTGGCAAGTCTGATGAATGTAATCAACATTTTTTCAAGCTATAAAATCTATGTAATCATAAGTTGGCCAGTTATTGGCTTTTTTGTTTATGGAATAATGTGGTAAACCCAATAAGAATATGATCCGGCAGACCCAGACTCGGGACGATGCTTCAGTCAGCCATTTCAGCTACCTGGTACCCTAAATTGGAGCTACCTAGCGTATAGAAGGCCTATTTTTGGGGGCAGAAATTTCAGGGGGTATGCCCCCCAACGTTCTGTGGCTTTATATGCTACTGACGTACCTCAATTTTAGGATCCTGAAGTTCCCAGCTGATTCACAACCATAGATAAATCATGAACTATAGACGTATCATGACATATAACATGATATATTGTGATATATCATGACATATAATGATATATATATATATATCATGATATACAATGATATATCATGATATATCTACCATAAACCATAGTTTTTTTTTTCCCGAAAAATCATCTTGTCTGATGCTGAAGACCGAACCGTGGGCCATTCAAAGACCTTTGGCTCCTGCGTAGTGTGCTGGCGTCTGGTCATCCCAAGGATCCAGCGGGGGAACCCAGAGGTCATTTTTTGGGGATTTGGATGAAATGACCTGGATTTTTTGTGTATGGATATCGATATATCATGTATATATATATATATACATACGTACATATAATTATATATATAATATATATATATATAATATAATATAATATATATATAATATATAATATATATTATATATTATATATTATATATAACATATATATATATACATATTGGATATACAAAATTAATGGATATGTTGACAAATTTTTTCACTGGTTCGTTTTTTTCAGTTAGACAACGGTGATATAGATGAATTGATGACCAGCTCATTTGAACATGACTGAGCAGCCAAGGCACCTTTTGACACTTTCAGTTTGCTATGGAAAATCCCATCATAGATAAATCTACGAACTTTCTATAGCCATTTTCAATAGCAAACCGTAACAGTCGTTACCAGAGGCTATTAGCCAAGGCGAACATTCAGAAAATCATCCATTTATAGATGGATTATCCCTTATAAACTAACCATTTTGGGTTACCTCCATGGAAAACCCCTTTTTTGCCAAGGCAAACAATCCGAAACCGACCAACTTTAAATGCCCACGAGTTGATACTGAAGCTTGTTGCTGTGACTTGCCCCGAGCTTGTCGCGGCAGTCCCATCATTTCTGTCGATCAATAAATCTTGCTCCAGATCTATTAATAAACAGAAATGAGGGGATTACAGAAACATGCTTGGTGCTTTCATTTTTTTTCCCCAACAGCGTAAGCTAATGGGGTCTTCAGCCCAGAATAGCTCCGGTGTGCACTGTTGCAGGCCGCTGGCGGGTCAGGTTCAACGAGGTTCCGGAGAAGGTTCCGGAGAAGGTTCCGGAGAAAGTCTTGGGTGCAGAGCCAGGTCAGGTTCAACAGGGTTCCGGAGAAGGTTCCGGAGAAGGTTCCGGAGAAGGTCTGGGAGGCTTTGGTGCAGAGTCAGGTCAGGTTCAACAGGGTTCCGGAGAAGGTTCCAGAGAAGGTCTGGGAGGCTTTGGTGCAAATCCAGATCAGGTTCAACAGGTTCCGGAGAATGTTCCAGGAGGCTTTGGCGCAGAGCCAGGTCAGGTTCAACGATGTTCCGGAGAAGGTTCCGGAGAAGGTGTGGGAGGCTTTGGTGCAGAGCCAGGTTAGGTTCAACAGGGTTCCGGACCCGGAGAAGGTTCCGGGAGGCTTTGGTGCAGAGCCAGGTCAGGTTCAACAGGGTTCCGGAGAAGGTTCCGGAGAAGGTCTGGGAGGCTTTGGTGCAGAGTCAGGTCAGGTTCAACAGGGTTCCGGAGAAGGTTCCAGAGAAGGTCTGGGAGGCTTTGGTGCAAATCCAGGTCAGGTTCAACAGGTTCCGGAGAATGTTCCAGGAGGCTTTGGTGCAGAGCCAGGTCAGGTTCAACGATGTTCCGGAGAAGGTTCCGGAGAAGGTGTGGGAGGCCTTGGTGCAGAACCAGGTTAGGTTCAACAGGGCTCCGGAGAAGGTTCCGGAGAAGGTTCCAGAGAAGGTCTGGAAAGCTTTGGTGCAAATCCAGGTCAGGTTCAACAGGTTCCGGAGAAGGTTCCAGAGAAGGTCTGGGAGGCTTTGGTGCAGAGCCAGGTCAGGTTCAACGATGTTCCGGGGAAGGTTCCGAAGGTTCCGGAGAAGGTCCGGGAGGCTTTGCAACAGGGTTCCGAAGGTTTCCGAGAAGGTCTGGGATGCTTGGGTGCAGAGCCACGTCAGGTTGAACAGGGTGGCAGAGAAGGTTCCGGAGAAGGTTTGGGAGAAGGTGTGGGAGGCTTTGGCGCAGAGCCAGGTCAGGTTCAACAGGGTTCTGGATCAGGTTCAACAGGGTTCCGGAGAAGGTTCCGGAGAAGGTCTGGGAGGCTTTGGCGCAGAGCCAGGTCAACTTTAATTCACGGAAACCCAGCTGAGATTTTGCTGCGCTTGGCTTCGCAGCACGCTTCAGAAAGATTTGTAAAAAAAAACGTTGCGGCTGCTGGGGATACCACCGAAGCTTATTTTTTTGATTTACATCTCACTTGGTGGATCCGAAACTTCCAAAACGGAGGGTGAACGCATCTTTTTTTCAAGGGTTGAAATACCACATTCATGGATACACTTTGGTAAACATAGTTATGGCTATGGCAAATTACCATCTAAATAGGTGTTTCGCAGGGTACATTTGGATGAGTTCTTAAACCTTCAATGGATGGCTTCAGCACAGCGCTGATGGTTTGTCGACAAACTGAGTTTTTTGTTTTGTAGTGTTTATATTTGAGTAATATTTGTATAATGGCATATAAATTTATGTATAATAATCCTGAAGTAGATGGAATGTGCGACTTTCAAAGGTACTCCCAGTTCGCTGGGGATCATATTCCATCTACGTCAGGATGACTATGTATATATGTTCCCGGTCCCCACTCTCAATGGTATGGTACCCCCCTTCCACCCAAAAAAAACTACCATTTGCATACTATTTGCATCATTTCAGAGCCACAACCCCACAGCCTTCGACTTGCATCCTGTTTGCAGCATTTGAAAACCATATACTACATACATACGAATTGCATGCTGTCCATGTAGTAACATATTGTATCTACATGCTTCTTTTCTACCTGGTATACCTATGTGCAAACCATAGCGTATCTATATACTTACTATTCATCAGTTGCCGATGATTGACGTCATAGAACTTATGGTACTTACAGCGTCACGTGTGTTATATATATATATAAATACCCATCATATATATGTATATATGTATATAGATTTACATATTCATATTCATATTCATATACATACATACATACATCCATGCATACATACATACATACGTACGTACATACATACATACATACATATATTTATACATACATACATACATATATTTATACATATCTTTTTTTACATACATACATACATACATACATACATACAAATATAAATATAAAAATAAATGTAAATATAAATATAAATATAAATATATACTTATAATTAGAAATATGTATTTACACACAGATATAGTCACATATATATATATATACATTTATTTACACATACATATATATATATATACATACATATATGTATATATATATACATACACGCACATGTATATATGTATACATACATATATTATGTTTACATATATATATACACACCAAATGTATACATACACACACACACATATATATATATACATATCTACACTATTATCTGTACTCATATGTAGCAAGGAAAACTACCAGATCCTCCACCGCCCACCGCAGGGGGAAGGTGGCCACCACATACACTACCTAATCCATCGTACTTACGTTGTACTACTTACAAATACATTGCAATGACCCCAAGCTACGAATATCGCTTTATAATGCTTTATATATGATACATATTTCATGTGTAGTATGGCAATCGTGTATATATATATAAATAAGCAACCTGTATGTTCCATATATAACGCATACAAAGTACCTATAGTCTATCTATATCTATGAATATATACATATAGATGCATGTATAAACCACCCAGTTACTACTCCTCTGGCGCTAGGTTACAATATTGCCCATCCATTGTTTATTCCTGGTAGATGCTTCATATTCAACCTCCTCCCCACCCACCCACCACACGGGGGAGGGGAAACGATGATACTGTCACGCCCCCATACCACAGCGGGAGAGGGGTATCATGACCATGGGTGGGCGGGGAGGGGCGGACCCGGAACCTGGAACATATATATATATATTTAATTATATATATATATACACATATACATATACATACATAAGTATATATATACACATACATAAGTATATATATATATGCACATACATAAGTATATATATATACACGTACATAAGTATATATGTACATACATAAGTATATATATATACACATAAGTATACACACATTTATATATATACATATGTGTATATATATACATATATATATACAAATATATATATATATATACATATATATACATATATATATATATACACACATATTTACATACATAAGTATATATATACATACACATATATATAAATATATACATACACATATATATGCATACATAAGTATACATATATACATAAGAGTGTATATATATACACATACATAAGTGTACATATATATATACATAAGCACATATACACATATGTATATATATATATATAAATACATATTTAAATATACATATATATATATATACATATGTGTATATATATATATATACATATGTGTATATATATATAAACATATATATATACATATGTGTATATATATAAACATATATATATATACATGTGTATATATATATTTACATATATATATACATATATACATATTTATATATATATACATATATATATATATACATATATACATACATAATACATGCAGAAATATGTACATATATGTATACATAAGTATATACATATTGTACACATACATAAGTATATATATATATTTACATCAGTACATTATATATATACATATATATATACTGTATATATATATATATATATACATACATAATTATATATATACACATATATTTGTGTATATATATATTTACATATATATATATACATATATATATACACATGATAGACCCCTAGTAATAGGATGGTGCAGACTAACGTCAGTTGCCCAGGATGTCCTTGTATAGAAGCGTAAGTGAGGAGGTCGCTGGGGAACGGACGTGAACGGTCGGGGCAGTAGTGAACTCACTGGAATCATGGTTGGTGAGGGGAACCATCCCCGGATGCCAGCCAAAGAGAAGATCAGTGGCCTTAATTCAGGTTAGTGAAATATCATAATTTACCGAGATCCCTGACCGAACTTTTTTGTTGCTGGAATTATATATATGTGTCGGAAATTCCACTAGTTGGTTGACGAAAGAGGGGTCAGCCGCATATTTCAACACCCATTCCGAGTAGATTGTGATGAATTTAGTATACCAAATCGGCCCCTCTTGTTTTCCATTTGGGGTATCCTATGTTGTTTACCAAACCATGTTACCAACTATCATTCCTGTCCACCAAGAATGGGATCACACTTGGGAAATGGAACTGCCAGCACTTGGGGAATAGCCATCCAGCTAGCTAGCTAGCTAGCTAGCTAGGTAGGTAGATAGATAGATAGATAGATAGATAGATTGATTGATTGATATATGTATATGTATATGTATATATATATATATGTATGTATGTATGTACGTATATATATATATATATATACATGTATTGACATCCATATATATATATATATATATATGTGTATACATATATATATATATACATATGTATGTACGTATGGGATGATTTGAACACATCTCTAGGGCATAGTCCAAATGTACCAGTTCAAACGAGACAGGCTTCGCCTGCCACAGCCACCATATTGGGGAATGGTTCCGTGACTTGATAGATCGCCCCTTGGGGACCCCATTTTGTGACACCGCCGACCAGATTTGTGACAGATCATATATTGGTTATCTCTACAGTACCATATCAATCCATATCAATCATCAATTATATGTATTTACATATGTACAAAAATGGATTTATAGAATGGTTATGCATCTATTTGTATTTACATGTTATGTCTACATGAAGATATATCTCTTTAGCATAATATCCATTCATATATACAGAAAATGGATCATCGGTTACGGCTTCGCTTGTGCCTGCGTGTTTGGCGCGCTTGTGCCTGCGCAGGTCCATTGCTCATGGAACATTTATCACCGTTTTGGACACATAGCATCTGTACATAGTAAAGTGTTACATATGTACATTTCAATGGATTGGTTTAACGAAAATCTTCACCGGAAACCATGGTTTTTTGCCATCACATATAGGGTTTTCGTGTAAATTTTCCCATCATCCAATGCTGTGAGCATTCGATAAGTACATGTGCTTGCAAGAGTCCCCCAACTCCCCAAGTCGTACGTGATCCGTTTTGTTCGGCGCACGTGAGTCTCTTCCCTGGATAATCAAATAACATATGAATTATATAACAGATCCATGGTCCATGGAGATGTCTATTATAAACATATACAAGGTGCTGCCCCCCAAGTTGTATTTGTTGGTTAAAAACCCAATAACTACAGGTATATATATGTATGTATATATATATAGAGTTATTTCATCACCATAAACCCAACAATTAATTTATGTTTGTTTACGCTAAGGATTTGGGGCACTTTTAGGTTTTGACCTTGTCCCATTGCATCTCCATTATACCACCATGCTTGTTGTTGGTTGACGCCCCAGCTTTGTTGCTTGAATCATGCTAAATCTCCCATCTTGTATCAACATCTATTGAACCAATATAATCACCAGATGTTGCCATGGTTTATAATATAATCTTGTATCAACATCTATCATCACCATGGTTTATTGCTGTTGCCAGCCCCTTTTCCCCTCATATCTCCATGTTCTCAGCCATTTTGCGTATTTTTTCGTCAGGTTGAACTCCAGGATGAGTCCGAACTTCTGCGTTGGGAGTCAGGGCGCCCTCCTTTTTTTTGGGCGGGTGGAAATGATGAAAGTCTTGGGTTTGAAAATATGGTACCTCTAAATCCATGGGGTAATCATCATTTTCCCTGTTCAAAATTCTTAGAGTGCCAGAACTAGGAGTGCCATCACCATTTTCCTGACCCACATGGTTCAAATGGTCTATTCTCCACATTTCGGAAGTGCACCATGACAGTCCACCATTTCGGGGCAACATTTCTCCGATCAACCGACCTCCGAGCAGCCTCCTATCTGAGACGACTCGGATGATGATAGATTGAAGACCTCCACGATTATTGGATGTGTGATTAAGCTACCTCCACCAAAAAAAACAGCAGACTGAGGCTTGTCAAATATTTGTAACTAGTTATTTGTTTGTAATGTTTTTGTTGTTGCGCTTTTCCATGTGTTGCCATTGTTGCAGACAACCAGTGTCAGAAGGAAAATGACAAAATAGAACAAACAACGCAATAAACATGACAGCACATGTCAAACAAATGACAAACATGACAAACACACGACAAAAGCATAACAAAAAAAACATGACAAAAACATGACAAAAGCATGACATGCACGCATGCATGCACACACACACATATATATACATACGCATATGTATATATATATACACATACATCATACATGCATATATATATAATACACATGGACACACCCACATATATATATATATTTATGCATGTATGCAGATATTATGTATTCAACAGTTGCCGGGAAACAATTCTTGGGCTCAGCTCCCGACCCAGACTGGAAAATGACCCGAACATGACAAAACAATGACAGTGGAAAATGAGAAACGACAAAAACCGCGGCGGAAAATGACGAATAATCACGAATAATCCCATCCCCAAATATTTAATATTAAACACTGGTTGGTGGTTTGGAACATTTTTTTATTTTTCCATATATTGGGAATGTCATCATCCCAGCTGACTACTATTTTTCAGAGGGGTTGAAACCACCAACCAGAACAGCTCCTAATTTTGTCCCATAGTAAGAATCTTCTAAGTGTCTAATATTAGGATGGGATTATACCACTGAAAACTCGAGTGATAGCAATGACAACCCTGCGTGACAAGAAAATGACCAACCAATGATAAACACGTGACAAGACAAATATGTGGATTTCCCGGTGTCAGGCCCAAGATTTTCATGAAACTACCCGCAATGATTTTTGAAAACGTCCACAATTAATCAACCTCAATTGAAACCACCAGCAATGGGCAGTTTGATAGTTTCACTTCTCAAACAATAAGGATATATTCGTCTACCCGGCTTGATGATCCAGCTATCAGGTCAAAGAACACGTTGCACAGACTCGAAACCCCAGGTGGGCCGAAAATTGCGGTGGAAAACTTTGGAAATTGGTGGTGGTTAGTGGTTGGTCAGGGATCAAAAGTATGGTGCGTTGATTTCCAACATGGAATCTGGAATATTTGGGTGAAAATGGGGGATTGACCCCAATGAAAAATATTTGGGAACTTGAACATGTCGAAAATGATGAAAACAAATCATGGGATTTATCCTATTTTTATCTATTTTTCAGACGTGCCCATGTATTTTTGGAGAAAAAACATCCACCCGGATGTTCAAATATGTTGACCTTCTGCTATTCAAACATAGCTTGCTGGAAATTCCAGCAATTTGGCTCGATTTTCACAGCTATTTTCACATCAATCATCGATTTTCCAGCTTGCCAGGTTTTATTTAACCCACTGGGCTAAAGTGTATATATATATGTATATGTGAAATCCCCCGCAAGTTCCATCAAACCAACCAATTTCAGTAGGGACTTTGCTGAGTTTGGGAATCTCAGCATCAAAAAGATGGGGATTTCCATGGTGATTTGATGGAGATTTCCATGGAAAAATTAGGGAATATCGTGGGATAACAAAGAAAAACAACCATAGGATTTCAATGGATATATCCACTTGGGTTGTTTGACCCCCATTCTTCATATTTAAGATCAAAAAAATATGGGGATTTCACTAATCGTGGATTTAGTTAACCTTAGATGGTTCATAACCCCAGATTTTTTCCCCCGCCAACGGAGATGTTGATGGGAATAAAATGGGAATATACTTTTTCTACAGACCCAATGATCCAGTAAGCTGACACTTTGCTATGGTATACTGTAGATATTCCGTAGTTTGTATAGATGGCCCAGACTTAGTTTGATGATTTACCGACACTTCAAACAATGGTGAGCCGCAGCGAGTGGTGTTGGTTTACCAATCCCCAAAGAGATGCCATGTAATCCATCCATTTTTTGAAAATAGTGACCCCCGTGACTATATCATGAAGCTTTAAAAGGTATCTTTTTGGGGGTTGCTATATATATAATTATATACATACGTGTATATATATATTCTAATATATATACACACATAATTATGTATATGTATAATTATGTATAATTATATATACATCAATATATATATATATATATCAATATATATATATATATCTACAAGTTATGATCCCGTCCTCCGTCTCTGGTCCCCCCCGAATGGGTTGGGTACCCCCCCCATCCCCTTCATGGCCTCCTGCCAACCAATCCCAAACAATGCCAGGTACTAATCTAATCTTGCCTGGTTATACTTGTTGTGCTTGCTATGCTGCTGTATAAGATACCTAGTGACCAAATACTGTACTATCTTGCGTACTACCTGCAAAATATGATCTATTGCATGCCTATATACAGCCTACATATTTCTCTGCTAATAGCATACCTATATATCCATAATATACCAAAATATAATATGCCACAATATAACCTTAACTACTGTACTATGTATTATATACATATATGTACTAATATATTACCCATTGCATGCCTATACACAACCTATGTATTGGTACCTATATCCCCAACACTACACACCTCATATTTAGCCTACAAGATCTAATATATTACATTATATTCCCTATTGCATGCCTATATACAACCTATATTAATTGCTATATTGCCAGTAACATACTGAAAAATGTCTACTTGCAATTCTACTTACCCAATATAGACACCTTACACAACCTGATATACCTACCTTTATACAACGTATATTTCACTACCGCCCCGCCATCCCACCACGAATCGATCCCGTGGCTTAGTTCGCTTTTGGTGGTGGAATCCTCCGTCTATCCCAATTATAGTGGCGAAAATCCACATAACTGGGAGCCACCAAATATACCCTCTGGCTAACATGGAAGCCATGGTCCATAGAATTTCCAGGATCAACATCACCTATGAAAAATGGTTGGATTTTCCATAGCAAAGCGTTACCAAATGGTAAATTCACATAGACCCTGGCAAATAGCACCTGGAAGATTAGTTTCCATTAAAAATGGCTTATTTTCAGGGTCTATGTTTATTTACCAAACCGTTAAATAACCACAGGCAGAGAGATCCTTGTGGTTTTGTCCAAAATCCATCGTCGAAACGTCCCAGGAAGTACCGAGGCTTCACTCCAGAATGAGGCCGTGGCCAACTTCGGGCGGAATGACAAACGTTGGGGGTCTGAATATATATATATATACATACTGTGTATGTATTATATATATATAAAGTTTATTTTCCTAACGGGAAAACCACTACTTGGGGAATCGATTCAGAACATATCTCTTATTTTTGGGGCTTCCTTAAGCAAATCCAAGCAACGTTGGGGGTTTGCTATCCAGTGGTGATTGGGGTTCCTCCGATTCGAAGTGGTTAGGGCGATGCCAGCAATGCCAAGATTCGCTGTGTGAATTGATCCCATCAACCAGAATGACATTTTTTGGTTTATTAATTGTGGGGGTACCCTCCAAATAGTCACAATATGATACATAGTACCCCCCCAATAAACAGCCTAGGGGTTTATTAATCCAGGGTTGACATTAAGCAACATGACCTGGGTTGCGGATTCAGACACGGAAGCATCTGTGGAAGCAACGATGGTTTAATGGTAAACATATCTATACAGGTAGCAAAGGGATGCAAAGGGATTGTAAATCACCTAATGTCAGCCCAGGAGTAATAAACCCGAGGGGTTAGTCGCAAAAATAAGGTCCCAGTATGAAACTTGGTACACTGGGGGCTTATAAGTCCTAGGTTAAGATTACTTGGAGGATCATCCGACGGATCGTTGTGGTTAGAATCTAACCCAAGCGATCGTAAGTCCCCCGATTCCTGGGGCTATCCCATTTATAAATGATGGCTTATAATCCATGGGTCATTAAATGTCCCATTTTGGGAATATTGGACATCACCTTATAGTAGCCATTATAGACTAATATACCTAATGGTTGGGTGATGTTCAATGGTGACATTTAATGACCCATGTAATCCCAGTTACTAACCAGTTACTAAATGATGGTGATTCTCCAAGTAGTTCAGACAAAGCCAAGTGGGTTACCTGGGTTATACTACTGTGGTTATGAAAACCAGTTACTTAACCAGTTACATCCAGTCACACAATCCTCCTCCCAAAAAACACTGAACAATTAATGAATTTCTCAACATGGCATAGGGTTTTTGTTTTGTTTCCCAAGGCAATATATATATATATTAAATGTAAGTACGTTAATATTGTACACCGCAACCTGAGTTAAATCATTTATACTTTGTAATAACTATATTAGATCATTACATATACTGTATATATATATAATATACAGTATACATACACTCATTATATATATATATACACATTTAAGTAATACCTGTAGATATACATATCATTTTGGATTTTTTTTGTTTTCCTCCTTGGATCATCCCGCTTGGTTCGGTTTTGTCAGGGTCTGGCACGCTTACATAGATCTAGATGAACTATCATATAAAATCATTATGAATCCACACATAAGTTAAAATACATAAATAAATAATCAGAAACATAGATTAAATACATAAATCGACACACACACACATATATATATACACATACAAATACCAATACAAATACAAACACATATAAATACGATACATATACATACAATATATATATATACATACATATACATATACATATACATATACATATACATATACATATACATATACATACATATACACACACACATATATATACATAGATCTATATATACATATATATATATATATACATACATACATACATACATACATACATACATCCATCCATCCATCCATCCATGCTTACATACATACATACATACATACATACATACATACATACATACATACAATTATATATGTGTATATATATATATATATCTACAATTATATATACATCTTTTTAAATCCACCAAGATCTGACATCCGGAACCCCCGTTTCGGAACCCGAACCGCGGGAGGATTTTGGCGGGAGCGATGGCAGTGAATTTGCGGATGGATCAACGACCGAGTCCCCTGAGGCGGATGGTGCACCCCGTTGTGATGTGAACGTTGGTTTATAAAACCCATGAATGTTGTGTTGTGATCAGTTATATATCTACCATAATTTTGTAGTTATCTATAGTTATAAACCATAGTTATAAACCATAGTTATAAACCATAGTTATCTATAGTTATATATCTATGTTGGTTTATAAACCATAGTTATCTATAGTTATATCTACCATAAACTGCCAAACTGCCATAGAATTCAGCCACTCAAAAATCTCAACTTGGCGATCTTGGCCCCATCCTGTAGCTGACTTATGTAGCTACGTTGATCTTGGTGAACCCAAATGGCTTGGGGATACGTAACAGTGGTCTCACCTCTGAGTAGTTTTTAAAAAGCCATCCGTTGACGCCGTTGATGATCGAATTTATGGTCGACATTGGGGTAGAACACTCACCTTATACAATAGTACCGCCAATAGTAGAAGACTCCATATTGGTTTTCCATGTGAATTATACACAAATTACTGTACCCTCTGGTAATTTCACATGGAAAAACACAATTTATTATAGGTAAAACGACGAACTAAATGGCAATTTTCCATAGCTATGTGGCAAATTACCAGAGGGTACATCAAGAGCTGTGATGACGGACCAATATTCTACACCTCATTCGTTGGGGTTTCATCTTGAAAATGGATGAAAGGGATCACAATCCGTTCGTAGAACGCGTTCGCAACCAAATTTTTAATGAGAATCACTTAGAACAACATCTAGTATCTGGGGTGTTGGGCAGAAAACTGATAAAAGGTGGGAAAAAACCATCTTGTTATTGGGTTTACCGTTTACCAGGTACCATATGAAATGATCGTTCACGGCAAGTCTCCCTGAAAATGTCCAAACATGTCAGGTGAGTGAATTACAACGAATGCCTATGACGTGGATCCCCTTTTGTGTGGGTGGTTCATGAGTAGAGCGCTTTGAAATTCGCGCTTGAATTTCCAAGGATCCCCTGGTTTTCAGGGTTTGTTTGACCCTGGAATCAGGAGGGGATGTCCTGAAATGATGGATGAAAGGGGGTGAAGGAATTCTTGGAACCACATTTCTGCCATTTTACCCGATTTTACCGGGCTAGCTGTTTTGAGAATTGGCTGAACCAACTTTTTTTCTATGAACATTTTGATGAATTGTTTCTCGCATTTTTGACATGGAGCCCCATGCTTTGAAACTGTTTCCAGTATGGCTTTTCGGGCATCATTTTCTTGGACTTATTCTTGGTAGATCTTTTTCTACTTCAGCTAATTAGCTGTATTTTTTCTTCGGGTTCCCCCTTCTTTGGTTTGTTTTATGTTTCTTCATCACTTTTAGTCTTGGTTTGTTGCGTCTTGGCCGCGCCCACCTTCCCATTCCGCGTGAGGAGATTGCGGATTGGCTGATTGCACAGTCCAAGAAGCGCTACGGACCCATCTTTGCAGACATCTGTGTGGAGCCATAGTCGCGGTCCATCAGGTCCATCAGGTCCATCAGGTCCATCAGGTCCATCAGGTGCATCAGGTCACGCCGAGTGTAGTCATTTTTTCGTTGGTCCCAACGGTGTTTCACCAGTACTGGTTGAAACTGACCGGAGTTACTGAAGGAGCTATGAGAAACTTATGGCCACATAAGGCTTTGTGTATATCCAAATTGAAAAGTCAATATCTTTCATCTCCTTTGGGGACAGGTGGATTTCCATCTGGATTTCCAATCGGGAGAACCGGTGACAAAAAACCAGCATTTTTGCTATTTAAATCCATCATTTTCGACCAGTCCTACTGGCAGGATCACACTTTTTGCTCCCATTCTGTTGCTTGAACCATTTCAATCACCTACTCAGACAATCATTGATAGATGCCGGGGTTTGATCCAACGTTGATCCTATGACGTTGAAGTGGCACAAAATCTTCCAACCGCTCCGACGACGCCTTACCCGTTGGTAAACTAAAATAGCTTTGGAAAATCACCATGTTCGATGGGTAAATGGGGGGTTTTCTAGAATTTGGGGTACCCGGGTACCCCCAAATCATCCATGGAAGTTGTATTTTCCATTATAAACATTTATAAACCATCCATTTGGGGTACCCCAAATCATCCACAAATTGTGCCATGGCTATGTCTGGATGAGGTCTGGAGCCGCAGTATGCGTTCAATTTTGGAGAGGCTACGTTCCAATGTTGGGAGAGAAACAGGAAGGATCCCCGCAAAGGCATAGGTAAGTCGAAGCTGAAGATAACGAAGCTCAATGGGATTTGCGGTGGAGATCTGTTATAGCCGGATGGGGCTACAAAGCAACTTGTAGGGGTTGTCCCCTTCCCGCAAACTATCAAGGATGATCGAGCAAACTAATTTTTTTAGGAGCATGTTACAATGTTGGAGTCACAAACACAACTGGCGATTTGGCGATTTCACAATCCATTTTTGACAAAAGGTGAGTCGATCAGTCGATCATTTTGAAGCCTACAGGAGTGGGCCTCTCCAAGTTGTCACAAGAGAATCATCAATCCATAGGGATTTAGAAAAACCCCATGGGTTTTTATTATGTCTGGATGCCCATGGCCCATGGCATGCCATGACCTTAAACCATTTTCCATTTTTAGTTGGATATAGTTTATATACCCCATTTCACTCCGAATATATTCCCATATACTCATATGTATATCTATATCTATATCTATATCTCTATACCTATATATATATACACATTTATTATATTCCCCATATATTGCCGTGCTTTGACCATATTATAAGCTTGGTGAGTTTCCCATTTTCCTCGCGTTGTGGGTTTTTTTAGCCGGGTTTTTCTGCCACAACTGGCGTATCTGGATCCAGGAAGCAGGAGAAATCTGATATATCTTTATTAAATAGATATGCGTATGCATTATTTTAGGGAAAACGCACTATAATTAACTTCAATTTGACTGAATTATGATGAATCACTCAATTGACTAATGTGAAATGAAGCTATTTTGGTTAGTTACTCCCTTACATTCACCATAAACAAATGTACATGTATATGTATATATATATATTAGTACATATATATATATATACTATGCACATATTATACATATCATACTATATAATGTATAATTATATGCATACATATCTCGAAGACATGAAACTGTCACACTCAGTTCATGGGGAAGAGCTTTCGTGTCAGAGATGTGAAAACTCTTTTTCAATCCAATGTCATAGTGAGGGGCGGTACCCCAAAATCACTTTATTCTGGGAGGGCAAGTTCATTTAATTCAGCCAGACTTATGTACAGTATAGATAATTACAGATGTACTCGATATACACATATATTGATCCCACACCCTCATACTAAATATCCTCAGGAGACACCAACATGAATAGATCCAAAACATTGCAACAAGGTTGAACATCTTGGGATTTTTGTGGGTACTTCGTGTATCACCAAGCGGCTACTCTCGGCCGATGCCCCAGAGTTGCGGAAACTAGAAAAAATGCGTCAAGTTGCCGATGAAATACCTACAGAGTGCCCCAGTTCGTTAGCTAAGTTGGTGCCAATAAGTTCAATAACTATGGTTTATTGGTGATATATCATGATATATCGAACTAGTTAATGGGATACCCATTTATAACTGGGGGCATCAACTTGTATGACTCTATGAGTCATACCATCTCACTGGGGGGTTGATTCACATCCAGCCATACCAGTGGCAGGATTCATTGTCACCTGAATCGGGGTCGCCCAGCTCTGGTCAGGAGCGCTTGTCGTTTCGATTCGGGGCAAATCTTGCCATAGTTCATTCATCTTTTCATATGAAAAAATATGGCATCATGGATGTTCATCATGGATGTTCATCATGGATGTCATCATATACCCTCTGGTCAATGAACATAGACCCTGAAAATTACCAATTTTTAGTGGAAACTAATCTTCCAACCCCGATGACTGCCAGGGTCTATGTTAATTTACTGGAGGGTATATGTCATATGGTATTTCTATATGTATTTCTGATTCGATACTTCCATGATTACCATGATTCATGAAATTCAGCGTGTGTGTGTCGTTTTCCAGAAATGTCCATGCTATGACTTATGGCTTCTGTCATCATATTCCGTTCAATAAGATACCCGGCCTGGTAAACTAACATAGCTATGGAATCTATGGAACATCACCATTTTTCATGGGTAAATCAACGAACTAAATGGTCATTTTCAATAGCTATATATATATATATCCTCATATGGAATGATTCATGGATTGACTTTGACCAGATTTGTTTTCTGGGGGTATCTCCAGCGCATCTTGGTCGGTGACGTCTCGATAGTTGGTGGGTAAGTCCTTGAGATTCGCGGCATTCCAAACGAAGCCCTGGTTGAATTTGTAAGATGTCGAGACGAAATGAAGATGTCACCACAAAAACATGTGAACAAATGAAGCTGAAAGTCTGGGAGGGATTCAGTCACCAGGGGGAGTTAAGGTGATGAAAACCAGGGATTTGCTGTGACCAAATGAAGATAGGCAAGCAGAAGACGAATGTGACTACCCGAAAATGATCCGCAAACAGTGTGTTTTCCACATGTTTGTGGGAAATACTACCAACAAAAAATGCCAAGCATCCAGAAGACAACATTTGAGTGGGGAAAAACGCAAACGAAACATTTGAGAAGGAGGACACATCTTACATGCAATATTATATATATATATTTTTCTCTCTCTCTCTCTCTCTCTCCCTCTCTCTCTCTCTCTGTCTCTCTCTCTCTATCAAAAACAATGGAGACACACAGCATTAACGTGTATACCCTAGTGCTCCAAGAGCCTCTGAGGTTTTGCTCAAGCCCAAGTACACCCCAAAATCATCCGTCGAAGGTAGAGCTGGAGCAGGGATATGCATATAGAAATGAGACGGTCTACTCCATGATCTTCCATTTGATTGCTCCAAAAGCCCGGTTGATAACTAGTTTTTGCTAGGTTTTTTTCACCAAAATAGTCATCTCCAAAAAGATGCCAAAGTTTCGTGTTTCCAGGATGTGTTTCCATCGATGGTGTTTCTTCTGCATCATTTTCAGATTTCCAACTTTCGGCATCTGTTTGGGGTCTATTGATCCACCCTCCGGAAAATATCACCATAGCTATGGAATGCTATGGAATGCTATGGAAATTCACCATTATTCAGGTCATGGGTTTTTTTCATCGAACTAAATGGGCCATAAAATCCATAGCTATGTTACGTAACGGTTATATAGCGGTTTTTTATATCCACATGCAAAATTTGGGGGTTGTTAAGCCAAGTGGATATGTCCATTAAAATCCTATTGTTATGTTTTGCTATCCCACTATATGCCCTGATTTGTAATTGTTCTAAATCCCCATTAAATCCCAGCAAGGCACCATTAAATCCCACCATTTCTCGTGGCGATTCGGAAATCACCTGGGACTCCCGTTGCGCAGGACATGATGTGGGCGCAATTGCTTCCACCCAACCTCGCAGGGGAAAGAATGAGGCCGATTTGGCACCGTGGCGCCGGAGATTTCCATGGTGATTCCTATGGGGATTTAGCATGATTTAACCATCAACCAAGGGGACTTCGCCATGAACCATTGGGATTTCATACCACGGGTTTCAGACTATGACCGAGACCCTTCCCGGAGGTCCCCACCAAGAGGCAGATGCAAGTGCACTTTTTCACTCCAAGTTGGGCTCGGTAAATTGAGCCAGTCAGTTGATTGGCCCTTGAGCCAAGTTGCAACAGTCGGAGGACGTCTCAACGACTGTGAAAACTTTAAAAAAGACCTTAGTGGGGGTGCAGTGGTACTCTGTGCATGTTTCCCAAACCGCACTCCCCCTTCCTGCTTGCAGGAATCCAGGTTCCCCAACACCAAAAACAAAAACTTCAGTGGTGGCCACGTTTCCTCTGGGAACTCGCCCTTCCCCCAGCCAGAAGGGCGAAGACCCTCGTGTGCCATAGTCCCAGGCTGGTGTTGGTTCCCCCTTCATCCAAGGGTCGCGTGGAGTTTTCGGGTTGACTCCAAAAATTGAAAAACTACAGCCCTAACTTCGTAGGTTTTGAATTCCCTCTCTCACCAGCGCTGTCCTCGAAGAGCGCCCAACGGTGTTCTTTGGGTCCAGCAGCTGATGAGCTTTTCCCTGTATTGGTCTTTTCCACCGGCAGCTAATGATCTTTTCCTTGGGTCTTGTTGATCTTTTTCTTCAGCCACCGATGTACTTTTCCCTGCGATCTATTCCCTTTTGGTTCTTCTTTTTCTCTTTCTTTTTCGGTTCCCACTTGCAATAGGATCCGGGCTTCTTTTTCCTTCTGATCGCCTTGAGTTCCCATTGGTTGCGGAGCTATCCCTTTTTGAGGGTTTGCCATGAAATTGTATTTCACCCATCTTAACCACATTCCCCAAAAAATCCATCCCTCGAACTGCTACCTGATCCCTCGTTTCTGTGGGACCCGACCTCGGTACATCTTCAGCAGCTCGATGTTCTTTTCGATTGGACCTGGCACAATCCAAGTCCCAATGTTTCTCTTGTCCATCACCCAGGATGGTCTTAGGGATGGGTTCTTCTTTTTCATAACTGTGCAATTGGGCAACATGACCGTAGCGATCTTGTACCCGCAAAACTTTCAAAACTGGTGGATCTTCATCCCAAAAATAAACCCGTTTAGGTTTTGGGTTACCCCTTTTGGACCTATTACCCCGTTTTAGAATACCCCTAGGTTCTTCTTCTACAGGGTGTTCAACTTGTCCAGGAATGTTCTTCTTCTCCAAAAACGGTAAGACCGATTCCAACTGGAACCGATCCTTGACCACGGATTCAGTGACGCGATACGCATCAGCCAGTACCTGTACCAGCCTTCCAATGGCAGTGCAAAGGGCTTCATGCCGGAAATCGGCTAGTTCTGGATATTCCTCGGCCAGACCAACCACCTTTTTCACCACTGATACGCAACGACCAGCGGTATCTCGGTAGTTGTCCCAGGAGGAAGTCTCCTGGTCTGGTTCTTCTGGACGTTGTTCTTCTCCCAGAGGTTGTTCTTCACGATGGTTGGACCCCATTGATGTTTCCTCATTTGGAACCCCGGAACCTTGGTGATTGACGAACCTCCAGAACCTTTCCCAACTGGGCTTCACAGCGATGATCTTCGTCAGGAAATCGGCCACAAGTTTTACCCCTGGAAGGTGACGGATGATCCAACTACCATCCTTTAACCGCTCCCTTAGGGCTGTTGCTCGCAACCGCAAGTGTCGAGTCCTCCACGGACCGTCAGGATTTTCCAAGATGGCTATTGCAGCCGTGTTGTCTCCGTAGATGATCTTCTGCCCGATTTTCCGTCCTTCCACGACCTCTATGAGAGACGCCAGAGAGTCTCCCATGACCATGGATTCCAAGTAGGACATCAATTCCCCTTCGGCGGTGCTCAACACCACAAAAGCTTGACGGCTGGCTTCCCATTGAACCAACCCTCCACCATAAAAACCTAGGATACCCTGCAGTGATCTTTCGCCCGCAGGGGCAAATGAAATGTCCGAGAACATTTCGACTTGCTGCATCTCCCGGTGAAATGGCAGATCATCTTCGGGACCACGATCATCACTTGTGCAAACCCCATAGCTGAGATGTTGAGTTTCGGTTCCCTTCAGGTAACCAAACACCTGTTGTGCGGTTTTCACCACCCATTTGGGCCGTTTGTTCACCTGTCTTCCCAATTGGCTGACGGCGAAACTGATATCCGGCCTTGTCCTTATGGACAACCACAACAACTCGCCCACCACCGTTTGAGCTTGTCGGATGTTTTCAAGTGCTGGTTGTTCTTCTTCCGGAAGTTCGGCATCCGCTTTCGTCATCGGAACCGGTCTTGGGTGTTCTACTTGATGTCGATTCAACAGATCCCGAGTGTAGGACTGCTGTCCCACCTTCAACTTCTTGTGATCCCCTTGACCGCTCCATTGGAGCTCGAACCCACAAAATCGAACCCAGCCTTTGTGATCAACTTCTTCAGGAGTGGAGCAAGTCCATTCTTCCTTCAGCCTCTTCAAGAAGCTGTGTTTGGCGTGAGGTTCCGCAAGAACCATAAGATCGTCCACATAGACGACCACCAAACCCACTTGCCGATATCCATCAGGACGTACTTCTTCTCCCGGAGCGTCACCACCTTTACACAGGATTCTCCACAAATTTCCTTCCGGCGTTTGTTCCAGCTTGTACTCCTTCTGCATCTCCCCCGGGCTTGCATCTCCCTGCCATGTGAACCGCCGCATTGTTTGGTCGCGGTACACTGCCCAATGGGCAGGGCTGGATTGAAACCCATACAGGGCCTTGTCGACAAGCCAGACCTCATCCGGTTGGGTAATCCCAAAATCAGTCATGATCCTGGGCGGCACCACCGCCACGGTTTTGGCACCTTGTTCCACCGGCCGAGGAGCCAGTAGAAAGGCGGTCTTGATGTCCGTCGTGGCTACATCCCATTGGTGATGAGCTGCCTTTCGCAATGCACACCTTATCAGAACCCCGTCCGCTCCACTGGCATACAGCAGAGAGGAAGGCATGGGATCCGCTTCCGGTGATGCCAAGTTGCCGCAGATCACAGCGCGACATTTGTATCTCCCTCCAGCCTTGATCACACAGACCAATTTCCCCGGCACCAATTCGGCTTCAGGGTCAATCTCGGACCTTTTGACTGGTCGGATAGCTTTTGTTTCTGCAGTCAAGGATTTGTACTCGGCGAGCATCGAGTCGTACCATTTTTCCTTTTCCATTCTCACCTTGTGGAGAGGGACTGTAACAGTTTGAAGTTGTTCTTCTCCACCGCTACCATCAGCTTGTGCTGAACAGACCCTTAGTTGGCACACTCGCCTTTCCTCTTCCATCCTTGCAGTTGTTACAGCTTCCAGTTCTTCTTCCAAATCTTCACGATGTTCTTGTAGAAGTCGTAGAACTTGTCCCTGTATGAAACCGTTTGTGGGATCCACTGGAACATTCGACAGTTCTTCCCTAATGGCTTCCACAACTCCAAGGTGTTGATCTTCTTTGACCTTCAACAGGTGTGTCAAGCTAACGTTTCTGACGATGAACTCCCCCGAGGTTGGACTTCTTTCGATGTGCTTCTCCCCCGAGTCTGGACCATCTTGTGCAGAAACCCTTGAAACTTTGATTTTTTCACTTTTGAAAAGGTTACCGGGCTCCCCCCCTGCTGACACTTCAGCAGGCTCTACTTTCATTTTTGAGATTTCCGGCCCAAGGCTGTCAATCTCTTCCACAGGAGCTTCCGGATCTTCTCGGTTGAGTTCTTCATAAAGCAAGTCGATTTCATCAGGCTCTTCATCTACTTCGAGCATTTCGCTCGGTTCGTATGGCTCTGAATCTTCAGGTGGTGATTCGTCAGGAGGTGGTAGCGGAGCGTCCCCAATGGTTGGCGGCAACCTCATGACACCTTCTGGCGGCGTCTTGGAGTAAAGCCGTCTGTGAGGCCTCTCAGGATTGTCTTCTATCTCCAACCTGATGCGGACCCGCTCCCCTTCCTCACTCGGAACAACCACTTCTCGAGCATGAACCACCTTTCCATCTTTCTGTTGGACTACCCAACCCGAGAACATCATTGGACTCGGACACAGTAGGCGTCCTTCTGTGTATGGAGACGGAATCGCCCCCTTTTTGAACCATCTTTTTGACCGAACCAAGACGTTGGCCCTGAAGGGCAGCATTGACAGTACGGGCACCCCCAGTTTCTCCAACTGTTGTCTCATTCGTTCTTCAGCACAATACCTCATGGCTTGAGGCCAGTCGGTCACCTCACTTCCTGCCACGCGGAGATACAGACGGGTTCGCCTTTTAAGCTGATTGACCTCTGATTCCACATGGCCGTTTGAGGCCGGGTCGTCTCCCTCCGTCATGCTCTGTCTTATAAGGCGCTCTGAGCACCATTTTTCAACCTTTTTTGACAGTAGCTCTTTAGCCCGATCACTATGCAGACGGTTGATCTTGATACCCATCGTGTTGAACTTCGCGATGCATTTTCCCAGGGCGACTAGGATTTCACTCACATGCCTTGACCCCAGAAGTTCCACCAATGTCACGTGCCGTACATTGAACGGCTGCTTGGATTCTTCTACCAACCTTTTGACTTCTTCCGTCATCGGGTCGGGATCTCCTTTTTCTTCCTTTCCACTGTTATCCTTCTCCCCCGACTCTGGAAGTTGATGATCTTCTCCACCAAGCGGGCAATCTCCCTCTTCGAGACCATCCCCCCACGAGGGTTCCAGAATTTTAGGTTTCCCCTTTTCTGGGGATTCTTCACATGGCATCACGATGTCCCTCGATGGAGCCTGATCTTGTGGTTCTTTCGGTCGATCTTCATCTTCTCCTCCAGTTTTGGTGATGTAATCCGGGACCAAGGCGGTGGCCACCATTGCATACTTCACCACATCCTTCCCAGAGGATAAATCCCTGACCTTTGGAAAGGGTCCCACGATGTCCACGCTCATCGCCCATGACGAC